CAGGAAGTGAGACAATCTGAACACACATCTGGGCATCAGGAGAGAATTCACGCCACCCCTAGTGGCATTTAAAAAACAAACAAGACAAAAATCACAGTCACGCTAAAGAGACAGAACAAGTCAGTAAATGTTCATTTATTTAGGTCAAACGTTCTAAAGAGTGGGTGGTAAAAGCAGAATATTTAGGACACTGGAGATGCAGAATTAGGGGAAAATTTTTCTTTCCAATACTACCTGTAGCATCACCCAAATGATGCGTTTGGAGATGAATGATAGCAAAAGGATGTGAATGTTTAAGTGGCAGTGAGGTGGGATCTCCCATTCCTTCAAGGGAGCATGGGAACCACTGCATTTTACAATTTAGTATTGATTTCTCCTACAAGAGGTAAAGACAATGAGATAGAAAAAGATTAAGAAACGTGTCCAGTGCTATAGTTCACTGAAAAGAAGACTTTTAATGGTAGCTGTACAGCCGCACCTTACATTGCTTTGGTGAAGCAGGTTGAGTTTGACTTTGGGATTGTTCATATGTGCAAACCATTGTGCGCCCTACCAGGGCCAGAGGAGGTAAGGAAAAGAGCTGCAGAGACCGTGATACAATCCCCCCAGGAGGAGTTAAGAATCCACTGTTTCCTAAAGTTCCTTCGGCTGCTCTGCTCCCTAGTTGCAGCACTTGGCTGCTCCCAGGGCTGCAAAGACCACCTACTCAGTCATGCATCCGCTCCTTTAACCTTCCGCTTCAAGATTCACCAAGGGGAAAATTGTGCTCAGTGTTATTTCTCTGAAACTTGGCGTTGTGGGAGATATAGATATCATGTAAACACATAAAAAATGGTGTTTACATATTATCTCAGGAACATAGTTCAGGTGCAATGAAAAAAACAATAATAGTGGTTCTTAAATTGTTTGCTCTCATAACCTGAATTCTCTTCTATATCACTAATGAGTGATTGATAAAGTGAGGACTTGATTCTTTAATCTTCCTCTTTATTTTTTTAGTGCTAAAATTAGAGTCTACCTGACTTGAAAAAGCATTTTCTACCTGTCATTGGAATGTCTAGTGTCTGAACTCCTTGAATGTTTAACAAAAGCCTTTCTTAAAGTACCAAATTAGTTGTTATTTCATTTACATAGCCTTCTTAACAGATATGTTCAGGAAAATATCTTGTTAATTTTAACAAACCTTTCAAATGCTGCTTTTTTTCCCCATTAAGATATAGAAAAGCATGTTCATCTTAAGTGTTACCTATCAATGAACTTTTAAAATGAAACCAGTGATAGCACAGAATTGCATAATAAGTATCTTTATCTTGCAGGAGTCAAAGGTCTCGTGAGTTCAATGTCTGAAAATGTCTGTAAGTAACCTAATTGTCAACGTAAATTCTCATTTTCCAATCATTTAGCAAAACATGACTGATTCTGTCAGAACAAATCCCACTTTTTCATTTCAAATCAACATGTTAGCAAGCATCTTTATGATCACCATTTATTTCCAAATTCTAGCATTCATTGCAAAATAATTAAAGATCCCTTTCCGTGAATTTGTACTCTGAATGAAATGAAGCACCTCTTCTTTGAAAACCATTTGCTTACGTTTTTGGGTTTGCTCTAATAAAGGACCCCAAATACCACCCACCTAGCCAGGCATTTGCTCAACAAATGGCCATTACTTTCACTCATCTGTGAGGTCACCGGGCTCCTGGGTTTCTTCCCACCTTCGGCGGTCACAAGATGGGTTTACCCGCAGCAACTGCAATCCTAGCACCGCCAGAGAAGTGGGCTGTTCCCCTCTCAGAGCCACCACCACGCAGGCTACATCCTCGACACCACTGCAGGCCCGGCCGGCTCGCCCAGAGCCATCCTCCCTTAACCCAACCACGAGTCCCACCCTCACGCAGCTTTAACGAGGCTGCGCCTGCGTGTTTAATCAGGTTATCCGCCTGCAGCTCGGAGCGCACGTGGGCACAGCCTCGCTTCCGGCAGCGTGCCCGTGGGCGGCTAGTGCGCAGGCGCAGCGTCAGCATCCTGCACATGCGCCCGGGGAAATACCAAAGGCGCGACACAGCCTCGCGTGTGCGGCCATCTTGGGCCTTGCGGCCTGCTGGCGTCCAGTGGAGAAAGGCCCGACCCGCGCTGGGACTCTCAGTAAGTCCAAGCTCCGTGTTTTTTTTTTAATGGTCAGCTGGTACAGTGGTGTCCACCCTACCCACTTTTATCTCTTGAACCAGCGTGGTTTGGGCCGGCAGGCACCAGCCCTCGGTGGTCGGGTCCTTGGCTTGGGGGCGGGGGTCCGCCGGTTCCTAATGGCGTTTGACCCTGGGGCGCCTGGGGGTGCCAGGTCCCTCGACCTGGAAAATGGGGTTTTCACAGAGGGCACCCACCGGGGTGGGTTCGGTGAGGACTCCGCGATAGTTGAGGGGTGTCTTTGTGGGGCGCCAAAGGCCCAGTCGCAGCCTGACAGTGCTGCTCTGAAGACTTTTGCTTTTGAGTCTCTTAACTGTAATATGTGAACACACTTTCCAAAATAACTTGACTTTTTGGAATTAAGACTGCACTAAACACAAGCCCTTTACAGCCTTTCCTAATCAGGAGCGAAAGTTAACCCCCCGCCCCGTCCTTAATTTAGCTGATAAATAGCATCGTTCACAGCATCTGGTCGTGGGCAAACACACTCACCTTGGTGGAGGATGTCACTTTGGTTCTCTGTACACATCGCTCTGACACTGCCTGCTCCAACTCCACAGGAGTCTTAACACTAATAGGTGAGGATTTTACATACACATAATGTTTAGGCATAATTAAGGGAATGCAAGAGAGGCTTTACGAGTTACTCTGTCCGTTGGTAAACATTTAGATTGTGGTGTGTGTGTGTGTGAGTGTGTAGGTCACAGCTTTGCTGAAGCATAACTGAAGCACAGATGCACATAAAGGCAATAGCTGGCTGACACTGGAAATATGCGCACACCCATGAAGGTATAGAGTGAAGCTTATTGACACCTGACACGCATGAAGCCATCTTAGTGAATTGCCATTGTACAACATACAGCCATTTTGGAAATGCATGTACTTTTTACTTAAGTGATAGTTGATTATTTAGATGTGGATATTTCACAGGTTTCTCTGGTAGTTTGAGTGGCCTGATCATGTAACGTCCTTCTGTCTGTAGACTTTCTCTGGCTTGTTCGCTTATATATACACGCCATACACCATCTTCTTTTAATGAAGGAATCCTTATGGCCATATCAGCTTTTTATGCCGAAGAGGAGTGCTGTGGTTTCTGAAAGATTTATTTATTTATTTATATTCCCATGAATCCAGGTTAGTGAAAACGTGGTCTCTTGGGTGATCCCCAAGAATGTTTTTGGCTTATGCAGAACGTTCCTTCTTGAGAGTACCTGGTCTTTACTTTGTGTGAGGAATTGTGGCTATGTAACAAATGACTTAAGCCTGGGAATTGAGTGAAGACCAATAACTTTAAATTATGGTGTCTTAAGAAGGACCTTTCTTTCCCTGAAATTTTTTCTTTCTTTTTTTTTTTTTTCCTTTTCTAACGATAGTCTTTAGTGTGTTAATGTAGATTTTATTCTTAGATTCCAGGATCAAATAAGCATAGTCCAATATCTCAGCAGATCAGATCATGCAGATTTCCATGCAAAATTATTTACCTGGGTGGAAAAAAAAGTGTAGTCAGTACCCAGATGTCATCTTTAATATTTGTGTAGCTTTCCAAGTTACCATGTTGGTTTGTGGACTTGAATTTTTTGTCTTAGAAAAGACTTATGTTTTATTTCTTGCTGAAGTAACATTTATACCTCATAAGATTGCATGGTCTTTATACTCCCCTTCCTCCCCTTTCTCTGAGTTTTGGGATATTCTCTAATTCTTTACTCCAGTTGTCTTTATTTGCAGTGATTTGCCCCATTGCAGTTTAAATTCCTTCTGTGTGTACAGTTCTAATTTTAATCGTTGCCTCAGAGTGACTATTTAGTCACTATGTCTAAATAGTCAGATAAAAATTATTTTCTTTGACCTTTTTGAAAACGGGAGACAGATACTCAAAAAGCAATTCTTTGCTGTTTGCTTCAATACATTTCTTGCTTTCTCAAAGCAAGTGGTTTCTCATAATTTTAGGCTCTATGTTTTTATTATATAGAGGAAAAAAATTGGTGCTTGCCAGCTATTAACTCACAGTCAAGTAGGAGTTATGTGTCACATTGCAGCAGATAATGTGAGTGAATTTGCATAATACTTTGTCAATTTTTGAAATTCCAACTAGAAAAACTTAACTTGAGCCCTAGTTACAGTGGAGGGCTTTGCCTTTATGCTAAAGATTTCCTCCTCCTCTTACCAAAGTTTTTGTAATGACCTGTCATTGACAAGTCTGGATGTATTTCATCTACCTCAGAGTCTTTCCATGCTCAGCTATCCTTTGTGTGGTATTCAAGACTCAACCTATTGCCCTTAATTAAGAAGAATCCTGGAGCTGTATAATGATGGTCCAGATATTGCTAAATGACAGACTGGGGAGTCAGTGTGACCACTGTTGGTTCACCATCTGCATGTGTGTCTAACATTCCCCTTTTGACTGTTGTGTTATCAGAAGGAGTCTGCATAAGAGAAAGTAGTTTTCTCATAGTGGTGGGAAAGACTTCAGTGGACTTTGGCTTCTTTCTACTATGCCACATCTTCCTACCCCGTAGCTCCTGATATCTAGTAGAAATTTGTTAGTTTCTGGAAAATTAAGATTTTACTTTGCTTTCCAGTGACTATATTGTTGCCATGTTTTTTGGGTCTTATCTAGAATTTTGGAAGTATGGAAGACATTGAGCAGTTTAGGTGCATTTTTATTTTGCCCTCTTCTTGTTCAGTACATATAATTTTCCACCATGGTAAATTTGTTAAATGTTGGTGCAGAACTATTTTTAAAGTTTATATTTACATACTTAATTTTCAAAATTGTCCAGAAGCTGATTAGTACTGATTATTTGGCTTTTTAGAAAATGGATTCTGCATCTCCGATACGAGCATTTTCAGATATGGACCTGACAATATCACATATAGAATGTTTTCCCGAAGATATTCTGGTGAAATTTCAAGGCAAAAGTACTATTGAATGTGAGTTTGACTACCACATATTGCAGAGGGAAATACAGCACATTCCCAAAGTAAAAAATAATGTGAACATTAATGATTATTGTTTGGTAGAAGAAAGAACATCTGGAGAATGGGAGAGAGGAAGAGTTGTGGAAAAGAAAAATGAACTCTATACTGTGTTCCTCATAGATAGTGGAGAAGAACGGAGAGTTGATGGTACACAGGTTGCTTCAGCCTCTGGCAACTTATTTGAGCTGCCACCACGGGTGGTATTTGGCATTTTTACCAACATGCTACCAATTGGGGAAAGATGGTCCCCTAAAGCTTTGAATTATTTCAAGTCCTTAGTAGGACTGCAAGTAAAAGGTTATGTACAAGCTATTTTGCCTCTTCAGATGATTCTACTTGAAGTACCCAAAATTATATCTCAGGTTCTTGAATTACAGTTAGGAAGACTCATTGATGGGGATTCATTTCATCTTATTGTGGAAATGTTAAAAAATTTCCCTCAACAAATGCCAGACTTATTACAACATGGAAGACCGGAGTTGTCTTTCAAGAATAAAGATACTTTACTTGATATTCAACATGTTTTGGATAATTTGCAGCCATCATTGTCTGTTGGTCATATTGGAAGTGTGAAAGTATCATCTGCATTGAACCCAAGTAAATTCTATTGTCAGTTAACTAAATGGATGCCAGAGTTAGAAAACCTGACTGTGCATATGACTTTGCATTATGATAGCCTCAGTCAAGAAAGTAGTCCCATGTGTGATAATTTTGGATTACTTTGTGTTGCCAAAAGGAGAAATGGACAGTGGCACAGAGGAATTCTTCAGCAGCTGTTGCCCAATAATCAAGTGAAAATTTGGTTTATGGATTATGGCAGTAGTGAGGCCATTCCCTCAATTTATGTGAAGAAACTTAAGCAGGATTTTATTTCAGTACCATTATTTTCATTTCCATGTTCTCTGACATATTTACATAGTCCAGATAGAGATGCAAGAAAATCTCAACTGAATGTATTCAAACAAGCTTTGTTAGGACAGATTGTTTTTGCACACGTTGATTGGTTCAGTAAGGAGGAACATTTGTATTATGTGACATTACAAACGCAAGAGTCTGTTATTAATTTGAAGTGTCAGAAAACTGTAGGCACACCAGTACTTTGTTCGGTGTCTGATTTAAACATTTCTAATATGTTAAGAGAAGCTAGTACTCTTCATATGAACAGTTTTGCAGCTGAGAGTTTTATTGGAACTATTGATTACCTAAATAAAAAAGATAGTTTGAAGGTAGGTTTTCCTGTTAAAACTGTAGAAATGGAGGTAGAGGCTGCCTACATAGCTTTTGTAGCATATGTCTTAAACCCGTCCAATTTCTGGGTACGCACTAATGAATATCAGAATGAATTTCAAGTTATAATGAAAAATATCAACAAATTTTATGACTTGTGTGAAAATGATGAACTGATTCTAAGAAATCCAAAGCCTGGATTGTTCTGTTGTGCTAGGTATAGCAAGGACAGATGTTTTTACAGAGCTGTCATTACTGAAATTAATAGTTATAAGATTAATGTGTACTTTCTGGATTATGGAAATACCGATTCCATACCATTTTTTGATGTAAAAATTTTGCTTCCAGAGTTTTGTGAATTGCCTGCCTTAGCCATGTGCTGTTCACTTGCGCATGTATTTCCTGTTGATGATTTATGGGTGAAGGCTGCAATTGATTATTTTAAAAAAGTTGTCTTGAACAAAGAAATTTTGCTTCAAGTTATAGCTAAAAAAGATGACAAGTACACTGTAAATATTCAGAATATTGAGGCCTCTGAAAATGTTGATGTCGTCTCTCTTATGCTACAAGCTGGGTATGCAGACTATTGGGCAATAGAGCCAGAATGTTATCCAAAATCTGTAAGTGAATATTCAATGTTAAGTTTAAGATATAAAAACAAAGACAATATGAAGGAAGTCATATCTACTCTTCTTGAAGTACCTAAATCTAAAACATACCATTCAAATAAGCTGAAAGAAAGGAACTTAACTTTGTTAAAATCTTCTGCTGTCAATTTCTCAGGTTTAAAAAATCCTTTCCCCGTGTCCCCAAGACCTGAGTCACCATGGCCTTATAAAGAATATTTTTTTAAACCAGGAACAGTCCTTAACATTAAGTGTTCTTATTACTGTGGCCCAGGTGACTTTTCATGTCAGCTCCAGTGTAAGTTAGATGATCTAAAATTACTAATGGAACAGATTCAAAATTATTATAGCTTACATCCTGATCCTTTTCAGATTGGGCAGGTTGCTTGTATTGCTAAGTATTCCAAAGATGGGAAGTGGTATAGAGCTGCTATTTTGACTCAAGTATCAGTAAAGGAAGTTGCCTTAGTGTTTGTTGATTATGGTTACCAGGAAAGAGTTTTAATTAAAGATCTTCGTGCTATTAACCCACGTTTTCTTTTCTTAGAAGCCCAAGCCTTCAGATGTAGTCTTAACCATGTAATTGATCCAATTAGTTGTAAAGTACTCAGTTGGACAAGAGAGGCTTGTAGAGATTTTGGGAATTTTGTTTCTTCATCTAGAGGGTTATTGACTTGCATCATCTATGCCTTAGTTCTTATACGCCCAAACTATCTCTGTAACCTCGTGGATTTACAATCTCCATCTACTAGTGCAGAAGAATTTCTCATCAGTCATAGATCTGCACAGTACAGCACATTATCTAAGCCATTTCCATCTTCAGTTCGTCTTTACAGTTACTGTTATTCTTCCTTTAACATAAAAATTGGCAGTGAGGAAGAAATATATATATCTCACATATATAGTCCAAAAAAGTTTTATTGTCATCTTGGCAGAAATAATAAATACCTGGAGATGATAGAAACAAAAATTTCAGAGTTCAATAACATCAAAGATTATAGAAAAAGTAATTCTAGTAACATGAGACTGTGTATATCTAAATATATGGAGGACGGTCTTTCTTACAGAGCTTTAGCAGTGCCAGCAGATTCACTGTCTGACTTTCTAGTTTACTTTGTGGACTTTGGAAACAAGCAGTTAGTGGATGGAAGTATGCTGAGGCCTATTTCAGATCAGTTTCCAGAGTTGCTCCTTACACCTATGCAAGCTATTAAATGCTTTTTGTCAGATCTTAAAGATGTAGATATTCCAGCAGAAGTCAATAGCTGGTTTGAAGATAATGTCTTGGGTAAACCATTAAGAGCAGTAATATTATCCAGGGAGTCAGATGGCCAGCTTGGAGTAGAATTGTATGATGGATATCAACATATAAATCAGAAAATTAAAATGTTGCTTCATGCTTATGGGAAAAAACACTGCAGCCAAACACACCGTGTGGAAAGAGGTGATAAAGTAAATGAGAACAGGCAACATACTGTTTCTTTGAAAGGCAAAGTAGAAAACAGCCAGAACCATAATAGTTTAGTAACATATTCTGAAAGCAGGATAGATAAATTAATGAGTTCCAAAAGTATTTATGCCAGGCTTTTGAAACCATCAATTTGTTATAAAATTGAACCTGTGCTAAAAAACAACGTGAAGTCTTTGAATGATGGACTTAAAAATAAATGTGTAAAAATTGTCCCTAGATCTGCATATATTCTTGGTGAACATGATGTGGGCCAGAAATCAGTAAGGGTTGTTTCACAGTCTTTCATCAAAGAATTTAATCAAGCAGGCTCTCAAAACCGACATAACCTTACAAGATCACAGATTAAAGACCTTCCTCAACCCAAAATTGATTTAAACGCCAAAGTTAAAGGGTATATTTCTAATATCAGTAATCCAGCAAGTTTCCATATTCAACTTGCTGAAAATGAAAATGTAATCGTCAGACTTGCAGATGCTCTAAATGAAAGAAGAGCAAATACAGCCAAAGAGAGGAAATTGGTCAAACCCATGGTGGGCGACCTTGTAGCTGCAGAATACTCTGGCGATAATGCCATCTACAGAGCAGTTATTAATAAAATCTTTCCAGAAAATTCTTTTGAAGTAGAATTTATTGACTATGGTAACTCTGCAGTAGTACATATATCTAAAATTTATGAACTCAAGAGGGAGTTCTTGATGGTTCCTCAGATGGGAATCCATTCTTTTCTCAGCGGAGTCAAATGGAACGAGCCTGATGAAATATGGGACAGCAAAACGGTGGATTATTTTGCATCAAAAGTAAGTAACAGAGCTGTTTCTTGTGAATTTTTGAAAAAACATGAACAAAAATGGGAAGTCAACATAGTCTGTGATGAAAAGTATGTCATCAATGAACTCTTGAAGTGGACAGCATGTTCAAAACTACAGAAAACAGTATTGCAAACACCTCATGTTATCTCTCAAAAGGTGAGCCATGGTGAGGAGAATGAAGCTAAGACAGGGAGAACAAAAGAACACGAAGGTTCTGTGAGCCCTCAGCGATCCAGCCAACATCTGGTTAAAACTCCTCTTGAAGCATTAAAACCTGGACAACTTGAAAAGGCTGAAATACTTTATGTTTCAAGAAGTGGGACATTTTATGTCAAGTTAGCTAAAAATAAGAAAATTTTATCAGATCTAACACTATTACTATCTAGAGAAGTAAAAAAGCCCTCTTTATCTATGGACAGTGTGGAAAAAGGCCTGGAGTGCTTGGCAAAATCTAAGAAAACTTTCAAGTGGTATCGGTCAAAAGTAGAGCGAAAGTGTGCTGATGAGAAAGTGCTTGTTTTTTTAGTTGATTGTGGTAGGTATGAAATAGTGCCTTTAAATAATACCAGGATGCTTAGTAATGAAATCAGAAATATTCCAAGACAGGCCATTCCTTGTAAATGGATTTGGTTTGAAAATTTTAGGAACATGTCATTTGAATCCATTGTGTGTTTGTTTGCTCATTTGGAAATAAGTATCCTTTTTCTGAAATACTTAGACCCTGCCTGGGAAGTTGAAATTTTGCTAGATGGCTTGCTACTTTTAGAATATTTAAATGCAGTTCACAGAAAAGAAAACAAACTCAGACCTTCAGAAACTGTTTTCAGCCTGGAATCTAAGACTTCCGTGCCATCCTGTACAATAAGGTCATTTACTTGGGCACAGCTCCAAAGCGGGGGGCAGTATTCTGGCATTGCCACTGCTATTGCTGATCCATCCGACTTCTGTGTTCAGTTAGAAGATTTCTTTGGCACGATGAAATCTCTTTTTATGATGCTTTCTGATCTACCAGAAGATTTACAGACAGTGCCCCGAGAGCACATAATTCCAGGTTCCAGTTGTTTGTTTAAATATGAATTAGAAGATCAGTGGAACAGAGTAGAAATTTCTAAAGTCTCTAATCAGTCTTTAGTTCTTGTGTTCATTGACTATGGATTTTCTGTTTACATACCTTACTCTGATATAAAACATCTTAAAGTTGTTCCCGAGCAGCTTTTGAATTTGCCAAGGCTAAGTTACCCGTGTAGCTTACGTGGTGTCTTACCTGCCAAAGGCAAACACTGGAATGAAAAAGCAAAGTCTGTTTTTCAAGATTTCCTAAGTAAACCAGGGTTAGTTTTTCAGCTCAGGAAACACAGTTTTGAAACAAAACTGAAAGTTGATGTCATTCATGAGAAAAACAGTGTGGCAGATATATTAGTTTCATCTGGTCTTGCACTGTATTCTGAAGACTCAGAACATCTTGATGCATTTTCTGTTGGATCTGCTAAATATATCCAGTCTAAATCACAGAGTCAACCTGTTTGTCCGTCGTCACATCAAAATAGTTACAAAAAAGAGAACATAAATTATATATGCTCTGAAAAACAAAAGCCGAAAAGGCAGAAGTCTGTAAAGAGGAAAGATGTGTGTAAGAACCTTTTAAGGAATAACTATATTAGGAAAAGATTATTACATTCCAGAAATTTAACTCTCAGAAAGAAGGTAGATAGTGGAAAACAAGATCCTCAAAGCACCATTACATTTGGTACATATGCAGCAGCTTCATTGTGGGAATTACCTAATGGCTTGAAGAATAACACTAGTGGATTTGGAGACATTTTTGAAAAACTCCCAACTGACGGGCTGCAGAAGAGCAATGCAGTGGGCTCCAGAAGAGCAGTGCAGGCGTTGCAGGTGGATGACAAGACGATATCGGAAGAGCACCTCAAAGGTAAGTGGCCATTTACAAAACTTAGACTCTAGTTTTGACTAAGTTCGTTATGTGCAAAATTGAACATGTCCCATTGTAAGGAAGTTATTACAAACTCTGGATAGATGGATAAATTGACAGCGCACACTGGAATTATAAGGTGTTGCTTCACTTATTACCTATTTTGAAAGCTGACCTTTGAGAATGTAGTGAAAGTAGTTTTCAACTAGATATTCAGGCATTTACTCTAGGACCTAGTTTTTCTAGTACCTACATTCCCTGTAGGACTATCAGCATCCTTTTTTAAAAAGTGACTGTGTATGTTTTGAATGTGCTTGGTGAAATAGCTTAAAAAACTGATGCTGCTTGCCAAAAAGTGAAATATTTAAAACTGTGTATATTTAAAACTGTGTTACATCTTATTTTGAAGATAGGAATTATGATTTAAGAGACAATTGTAGTTTTAAATAGAGCTCTAGGTCTTTTTTTCCAGAGTGGGTGTATACTACTAACTGCTTAAGAGAGGATTACTTTAATTGTTGTGCAGCTGCGTCATAGAAGGTGTGCCCTGTTTATGCCCTATTTTGTTACCTTTTTATGTTATATATTGTAGCTTCTGGAAATTAAGTACAAAAGCAGTTCTCCTTATAGAGGGCATTAAGGAAAAAAAGTCCCGTGTAGCTGTCAATGTAATCTGTAATGCTTGAAAACTGGATGACAACATAGTTATTCTTTTTTTTCCTTGTTTTTCAGTGGAGGCAGATGAAGGTTCAGATTGTTTATCCATCAGTTTGGCAACAAATGATACCTAGGATGCCTGGTAATCACTTTTGTTTTAGTCACTGCAGATCTGTAATAGAAGTGGTAAGCCCAGGGCAACTTTAAACATTAAACCTTTTCAAAGGAGCCATATTCAGGCTGTTTTTCCAAGGGACAATGATGAGTGCTGTAGAAATTTTATGGGACTGACAAAATTTGATTTGTGATTTTATTTCATAAGGAAAGTAGTATTACCCCTAAAGTATCTTGAAAATACTTTATATGATAAATTTATTTGCATAGAGTTTTATAGCCATTAGATAATCTCATTTTTACCAACACCTTCTTGTATTTTTCAGCTGCTTTTCTTACCTAAAGCCGTTTTTAATTAATACATTGTAGAGGCATAATTGCAGCAAATATGACTATAAATACTATAATTAATAAATATAATGCATACTATATATAGTTATATATATATAACATACAATTAATATAATAAATACAGTTTATAGCTGTATATGTTTGAAAATTGGTTTTATATTTTGGTTGCATATTAGTTATGGATATTTATGACATTAAAGAATGCTGATCTTTAGTGGGATGGGGCTATAGATAATTTGTCAGTGCCTCTCCCTCTGAATTAAAATACATTTTTGGAAGTAAACATATTGAGCAAATTTGTTTTGGTGCACAGTTTGAGCCAGTGCATGTAAGAGTCAGTGTCAGACATAACAGTTTTGGTTTTGAAGAGCTACAGATTTGGTTATTTAAAGAATATTTAGGAAAGCTTAGAAATTTCCTAGGCTAGATAGGGACAGTCAAGGAATAGATCATTTGTTCATGATGATCAAATGTGTGTTGCTATTGTCAGTTTTTTGAGCATAAGAAATGATTTCCTTAGTATACTGATGTTAAAATGAATTCAAGACAGAGAAACTATGTGTATTTTTTACATTATAAACTAATCTCCAGTTTGTAATTTAACATTTTTTTTGTAATCTAAATTTGAATACTTTTGTCATTTTCCCTAAAACCTCACCAGATCTTGAAGATTGTTTTCTAGATTTTAGAAGAATTCTCCCATTGGAAAAGTCAATCACTGTACAATTCCTGTGACTTTAGTATTGGGCTGCTTTTCTTTTGTTGTTTTATTTTGATGTCTTCAAATAATTTGGTTTGTTGAAAAAAGAAATGAATTAGAATTTGAGAGTAAGAAATTTTTTTTTTCAGTTTCTATTTAATAACTAAGGATGCCTTTAAACTTTTCAGAATTCTAACTTCATTTAGGTGCATAGTATTTTCTGTGGAAGAGACTAGAAACAAACTGTACAAATTTAGCATTTAATATATTAAATACAGTAGAAAAATGACATAAGCTAACTCGACTTTTTTTTTCTATTTGGGCAGAAGTCTAATACAGAAAGCACTTAATAAAATAGATTACATTTATATTTTTTCTTTTAAGATAAATAGCACTGCTTTTGTTTTTCTTTTGAAGATATGTATATGTGTATGTATGTATGTGTGTGTGTGTGTATAGTTTTTGCTTTACATTGGCTGTTTTATTACACTATGAAATTACAACATGGAGAGTTTATATTTAATCAGAATATTTTCAAATAAAAACAAAAATGGCATGACATTCACTTTAGGATTTATTTTTTAGGATTAGGTAGGTTTTAGGTCTAAATTAGAGTAATTTTTTAGGTCTAAATTAGAGTAATCTTTTTTCACTCTAAATCACTTAATTTATGGGAGTAGACTATTATTTTATGAATATTGATAGCATGATTACTTTTTGAAAGCATTAGAGTATTTCTTGAATGAAAATAGTTCAAAGTTTAGGACTAACTTAAATTTTCATTTCTTATTTATTAAATTGAAGAATGATATTTTTATGCTTAAGCAAAATGTTTATAAATGTGGGCAAAGCATGACTGAAAAACAAACAAGATTATTGCTATCTGGCCGCCCCCTGCAGGTGTTTCTTCTCACAGACCTTTCTCACTGCAGCAGCACCCTGCCCACCTGTGTCTGTGCAGCTGTTTTCAATTTCTCCTTCTCCTAATAAATTTGGCCTTTTAAAATGTGAAAGTAAAGATTACTGATACTTGTTTTTTCAGCTTCACAATTATGCATTTTCAAGACTATGCATTGATGTGGATTAATAACAGATTCCAAACTGTTATATAGAAACAGATTATTTAGTTATTTGTATATTCCTCACATGATGACTTTAATTTGAAATTCTATGAGATGCTAAGTTGGTTACAATTTCAGTGTTTGATTTTTTAAAAAATTTTCATTTGGATCCTCCCTGTTGGCGCAGCAGGTTAAGGTGCAGCACTGCAAGCCGGCAGGAGATGCTTCAGTGCAAGTTCGATCCCCGGCCCGGGAGGTGACCCACAAGGTGCAGCAGACCTCTCCTGTCTCGCCCGCTGCTCCCCTCAGCAGTGTACTTCGTAGATCTACCTGTTCTGCTCCCCACTCTCTGGTGAATCCTCTTACCACCCCTGTACCTCTGGCCTGTACCCCAGTTCTGTATGCATAAATAAATAATTAAAAAAAATTTCCTTTGTATTAACTTAGAACATTTTGTGTGAGGAGTATTGGATTCTAATATCCATTAAAATATAAGCTTTATTTTGTTGAATTTAGTTTATGTACACCCTAGGAAGATTTATATGTTTAAATTTTGAGTTCAGTTTTCCACAATAAAATATTTTAAGTATGCTCCCTGAAACCTGGACTTGTATTTGCTATAAAATAGTAACACAGTGTTAAAAGTCATATACATGCATATTTGTATCATTTTTTTCTTTGACCAGATAGGCTGTACTCATTAGATTTTCTCTTAAGTTTAACAGTACTGTGTCTTATTTTCAAAACAGAATTCTTCCTAATTCTTTATCCTTTCATGATTACAGGAATCTTGAATACTCAAAGGTTCTTTAATCTTTTAATTTGATCTGTAATTTGGAAATAATTATCTCATCAGTTTTTAGAAATCTCCAGCATTTTATTTTCTGTTTGACTTTAGAATAATTTTTCTTACAATGGATATTATAACTTGAGTGTATTTAAGATTACAATTTTCCCCTTTGGCCATGATATACTAACATCTTAGAATGTGAATTCTAAATAACTGGTTAATTTAGTTACTTAGTTTTCTCATAATGTCCTGTTAATCAAAGTGATCAGTTACTGACTAAAGTCACTGTTATCATCGTATAATATTTATACTATAACCATAGTATAATATAATAGTACTATACTTACTAAATATTATACATAGCATAATATTTGTCTTTATATCCTTGAACATATCTGTATTTCTGAATATATTACTACCAAGTCATCCTCCTTTAAGATCTTGTCATATTCATCAAATGTTTTGGAAGCCACTTGACTGGATATGAAATATATAAAAGTGGGTGAGTCAAATTCTGGATCTTACGATAATTCCATTACAGTGTTGGAAACACTGATTATAATAGAGTTGTATGTTATAAAGGCATTTAATAGATGTTTGAGTGTTCCTAACTTTTGGAATTGAGGACCACTTGAAAAATACTTACAAAAATATGACCTGTGAACCTTCTTCTTGAAAGATACATGGTATAGTTTGCCAGGTAACTTGGGCAAACACACAAGAAGTAAATTTCAGAATGTATTATAGACATGCAAAGTTGACTCATTATATAAACACAGGGTTTGAAAGGCAAGTATTCACTATTTGTAAATCATACTTTCAAGAAATATGCAGTTAGGATTTGAGAATTTTTTTCTCAGTATTTGAGATTTTGTTCTTTTTTTTTGACATCCCTTTTCATGCTGAGAGATCAGCTGTCTGATTAGTGTTCTTTTCTCTCTGGATCCTTTATATTTCCCTTATATTTGGCATTACAACCTAACACATCCTTTAGTACTTATCATTATATACATTTATTTATCTTGCTTGTGACTATGACATTACTAAATTTTAATATTGGTGTCTTTTTTTCAGTTCTAGAAAGTTCTTATCCATTGCATATTTGACTGTGGGTTTATGTCAGTTCTTAATTACTCAGTGACTCTTACCAGATTTTTCATATATTGGTTTCTTCAGATTATTATGGAATCTTTAAATCTGTTTTCTAAAAAATTTGTTTTTCAAGTAAACTGGCTCTGGCATTTGTTTTTCTGTGGAATAACACTTTCTTTGGTTTTTGGAGTCTGTGGGTTTCTTTTTATTTTGGTCTACTTTATCTTTGGTCAGT